CAAATTGTAAACAACTTACAGCGTTGAAACGTACCCACTCTGACGTCACCAAGGGCTGTGAAGTTTTTTCGTCTCTAAGGGCGTTGCTATGGGGTTATTTCGATTTGGGGGGATCAGACAAAAAAAACAACTGATTTTGAAACCTTTAGTAGTTCTCTTCCAATATAAAATGGTATCAAAACTGTATTTCTAAATAAATCAAACCCGGCATAAGGTCTTTAAGTCGACCGTGGCGCCTAGAGGGTTAAGGCAGTAGGAAAAAAATGGCGGGAATATCAGCAAAAGACTTCTACAGGAGTTCACAGAAGAAAAAGGCCCCAGGTAAAAATTCTATCAACATTTTATGAATGAAATAAATTTATTTATGCACAATAATGTCTCTAGTTTCATATGGAGTTTGAAATTTGACAAATTTTGATTGAAGTAGCAGGCTAGGATGTCAGTAAAAGTGAAGCACTCGTTTGAGGACGCTAGGACTATGTACAGTAAGGGATGCCGTCAGGCTGAAGAAGGAGTCCTATTGAGCAATGATGGTTTGTGGGACTCCTGAGGCAGCTGTCCAGTACCGGCAGGCCAAGCGTGCCGCGGCCCGGGCTGTTGCAGAGGCAAAAACCTGGGACTGGGAGGAGTTCGGAGAGTCCATGGAGAATGACTATCGGTCGGCCTCGAAAAGGTTCTGGCAAACCGTCCAGCGCCTCAGGAGGGGGAAGCAGTTCTTTGCCAACACCATGTACTAATGACCTCGACTGGGGATATTGTAACCCTAACCCAGAGATGGTGGCCTTGAAAAACCCCATGCGTTGCAGAGCACAAGACTGCATTGGAAAATCCTGTGTCCGATGCATGACATGCAATGTGTACCTGTGCTTGCAAAATGAACGCAACTGCTTTGCAGCATTTCACACTTGCCAATAGGGCTCTTCCAAACAGGCAGACAGATTGCTTTCTAGAAAAAGAGAGGGAGCTAGTTTGAAAAAAGCCCCGGTTCAAAAGCTGTTCAGCAGATTTGTACTGTTTTAGGACTGTTAATAATATTTGCCATTATTTGTTCTAGTATTGTATTTATCATACACACTCGCGTTATCGTTATGAGAAACCCACTGTCCTCATACGAGGACATGTTTTTTCTCAAAAACTACTTCCTGTACAAAATCACAGTTTAGGTATTATACTTATTGGGTCCTACTTATCCTAAATAGCAAAAAAATATATAAAATAAACACCAGACAAACGCTCGGGTCTCAGGAGGTTTTAAGAGAAAATGACATCACACCTTCCCGTGTGTGTGTGTGTGTGTGTGTGTGTGTGTGTGTGTGTGTGTGCGTGTGTGTGTGTGTGTGTGTGTGTGTGTGTGTGTGTGTGAGAGAGTGTGTGTGCGCGTGTCTTACTCAGGGTCCTGTGGTTCCTCCTTTATGTCCCTGAGCTCAGAGTCTTCCTCCAGTTTCACTTCTGCCATGTTCATCTGGGTTAGCTCCTGTTAGCTCCTGTTAGCTCCTGTTAGCTCCTGTTAGCTCCTGTTAGCTCCTGTTAGCTCTTGTTAGCTCCTGTTAGCCTGTGGTGATAATGCCGTCTCTTTTTAGCTTTATTAGCTCTCAGCCCTCTCTTGTTAGCTCTCTCCTGTTAGCTCCTTCAGCTTGTTGGTCGCAGCATTGTAAGGGCAGGATAACCGTGCAACACGAACCATTCACGAGGAAAACAAACACAACACATCAGTCTCTTTGACTCAAACACACGCATCAAGCGCACCGCGTCATTTATGCAGTAAAACACAATGCATTTCCGGTTTGACCCTTCAGTGTAAGAGCATACAAACATATACAGACACCTTCAAGGCAACACCCCCACTTGCTCTTAGCACTGCAAAAAAAAAATCACAGGCATATTTACATTCACATCACATCTACATTTACATACATAGAAAATGTGTGAACTTCTAACTTTGCTCACTGAGTTAGTCATTACATCAGCTGCCATGTCTGCTGTTGCACAATATACAACATTTAATTTATTCTCTTTTAGTGCAGAATGAATGAAATGGAATCGAATATCAATATGTTTACATCTTTGTCGGTTAATAGGGTTTTTAGACAATGCTATTGCACCCTGGTTATCTGCATACATGGTAACGGGTAAATATTGTTTCTCAGAGTCCAACCCTTTAAGTAGTTGTGAGAGGTATAAACATGTACTGTGGCGGCCATCGCCATGTACTGTGCCTCACACGTTGACAAAGCTACTGTAGAGTACTTTCTACTTTTCCATCATATAATAGGCCCACTCTCAGAGAGTGTAAAACAGTCTCTGTCGTTCTTCTCCTGTCACACAAATCTGTGACATCTGCATCACTGTCTGCTATAAGACTGAGATTACCGTCTGTCTTTCTATAACATAACTCACATGTTTTGCTGCTGTCCAGTGATGTTCTTTTGGTGCAGACCAGTATTGTGACAGTTTACTCACTATCCAACTTTAATCTGGTCTTGTACATGTCATTAAATAAATCAGGCTGCCCACTAGTTCTCTGTATCTACCAGAATCTACTAGTTCACCTTCTACTTCAAAGTTTTGTTTCAGCTCACAAGGAGTAGAACGTGGCTTACAGTCTGACATGTTCAATCTTTCCAGTGTTTTTGTTATAGACCTTGTTTGATTTAGTTTTATTCCTAGTTGGTCTTGTGTACAGTCAATCCCCAAGAAATGTTTTAGCTCACAACCATTAGATCATAACCATGTTCACACAAATGATCATGTAACATTTTATTCCAGTTTCTCCCAGATTGTTTTGAACCATATGGTGATTTATTCAACTTATAAACTAGCTTCATACCAGTCTTTGACTTAACTTCGTAACCTTCTGGTTGCTCCATAAGCAACTCACAATGAATAGGCGAGAACAAGTAAGAAGTTTTTACATCCATTTGGTGAAGTTTTAAGTCGTACTGTGCTGCCATCTGCATTAAACAACGCACAGACATCATGTCTGCAGTCGGCGAAAAAGTTTCCTTAAAGTCAATGCCAGCGACTTGGATGTAGCCTTTAGCGACATATCTGGCTTTTAATGTCTCAGATCGGTCTGGGCTCTCCTTTGTATACACCCCCCCTTTTGGCAATGTGGTCAGGGTAAAAGTGTAATTTCATTTAACAATCTCATTTTGTCCTCATGACATTAGACCAGCACTCGGACTCTGGGGAGTGCACAGCCTCATCAAATGTCTTTGGTACGCCGTACATCAACCTGTAACAATAGTAAATGTTCATCAAAGTTTGGTCATCATCAGCAGAAACATAGTCTTTCAAATATTGTGGAGTCTTTCTCTCTCGTCTCAGATATTGTCCTTCGGTGTTTTCACTCTGTTTTCACTCTGTTTCTCAAGTTTTTGTTCACAGTGTTTACTGTCACGTGTCACATTGTCCTGTGTTTCAGTGTCCGGCTCTATCGTCTCTTTCAGGCTTTTATTGAATGTCTTTTACAGTATGTTCCAACTGGTTGAAAGTCATCTTCGTCCAGAGGGGTCTCATTCTGACACTCACCTCCACTTGTAGTGAGGAACTCGACCTGTTTCTGGATAATAGACAAGATGACGGACTGTTTTTATCGTATCCCACAAAAACTCCTTTGTCACACTTTGCGTCTAGCGTTTTTGTTTTGTCGAAAACTGTAACAAACTGACCCAAAAACGTGCATCTTAGACATGTTAGGCTTTCTCCCTGTCAACAAATAGTGAGGGGTCTGTCCTGTGCGTCTGTTGTAACACCTGTTGTGAATTACTGCAGCAGTCATTACAGCATAAGTCCATAGTCTTTTAGGTAAATTACTCTCAAGCAACATACAACGCGCCATCTCAAAAAGTGTTCTCCAATTCCTCTCGGCTGTCCCGTTCTGGTGGGGTGAGTATGGTGCAGAGGTTTCATGTTCTTTCTAAGTGTGACAAACAGCTTACACCACCGAGGGTTCGTGGTGTATGTTTTATATTGAAATTTTTTTTTTTTTAAACTATAATGACACATATAAGGGGATTGAGGGAGGACAAAAGGTTCCATTTAAACACATTTTATTCATTATTTTAGCTTATTTTGTACTGTGAGTAGTTTTCACTCATTATTCCAAATCTGTTGTAGCACAGCATTCAACAACATTTAGTCTTTTGAGTAAAACAGGAAAGAGCGTTTACAGAGAGTAAAAGACATCGTAAAAAAGACAAGACAGCGGTGGTTGTGCTGTGCGCCCGGCTCTCTCAGGCTGTTCCAACTTCAGGTAGGACATTCTCTCAAGAGTTCTCACTGGGGGGGAATGACTCCAGCTTCAGAGGACCACCGAGGACCACACACCCCCGGTCTATAATGAAGTGCCACCAGCTGCGCGTTGAAAGCGCCTCCAGAGCCTCCAGAGCTATCAGTGCCACTACCTCTACGCGAAGTACCACCCCAACATGCACACAAGCCTAGCAACCAGCACCCGGAAGTACAGACGGCAAGCGGGCCAACGTCAATAATCTGCAGGCTTTTATAGTGTGGCGTCTGGTGCCCCCAGCTGGTGGGCGGATAAGCTGTCCACACTACTACATAAGCAATGATTGAAACTCTCTGGAAGTAAACTCTGTGCCGTTGTCTGATCTGATTCTTTTCACTTTCCCATAGGGGGCGACATCTGCTAGAAATATCTCAGTCGCTTCTACAGTGTCACTTTTAGCTTTTGAGAAATAAACAAAAGTTGTAACTGAATAGTCGTCAGTAAAAGCTTTTGAGTATCTGAACCCGTCTTTTGCCTCAGGGTCGATCGGTCGAGCTAAGTCAGTGTGCACCAGCTCTAATGCCTCTTTTGCTCTCTGGTCAGGCTCTATTTCTGGTTTGGATAAACTTCCCTTTAACACACACTTTACAATCTTGTACCCTCAGTAACAGTTTCTAGTTTGGACAAATCTTCATAATTACAGTGGCCAAGAATTCTGTTCCAAGTTTCAACATCATGACATCCTTTGCACTCATAGTCATTGTTTACCTCAACTGTTCTCAGGTTCCACCTTCGAAGGGAGGGGGGCAGCCCCTTCACTGCTGATGAGATGCCCGAGGAACTTGATGGACGGCACCCCAAAAACACACTTAGCCGGGTTAATGATCAGCCCGTGCTGGTCGAGCCACGTAAAAAGAACTCTGAGATGCGTCAGGTGCTCCTCCTCCGAGGAGCTGGCAACGAGGACATCGTCCAAGTAGACGAAGAGGAAAGGCATGTCCCTGAGTGCCGAGTCCATTAGCCGCTGGAACGACTGGGCTGCGTTCTTCAGGCCAAAAGGCATCCTGAGGAACTCGAACAGCCCGAAAGGAGTCACCACTGCAGTCTTCGGGATGTCAGCAGGGTGCACCGGGACATGGTGGTAAACCCGCACCAGATCCACTTTAGAGAACACAGACTTCCCCGCCAAATGTACGGAAAAGTCTTGAATGTGGGGCACCGGGTAATGATCGGGCGTGGTTGCATCATTAAGACGGCGGTAGTCACCACACGGACGCCACCCACTGTCTGGCTTCGGAACCACGTGGAGTGGCGAGGCCCACGGGCTGTCAGAACGGCGAATGATGCCAAGGCGTTCCATGTTGGCGAATTCGGCCTAGGCAGTCATCAGTCTCTCCGGATTGAGCCGCCGGGCCCTGGCGTGGATAGGAGGGCCTCTGGTCTCGATGTGGTGTTCGACTCCGTGTTTAGCCGTGGCAGCAGAGAAAGTGGGCCGCGTCAGGTCAGGGAACTCCATGAAGAGCTGCAGGTATTTGTCACCTTCTGCGAGCGAGCTGGAGAGACCATTGTATGTCCCCTCATCGCAGACACACGCGAATGAGGAGAAGGTCAAAGCGTCAACCAGGCGGCCATTTTTGACATGGGCGCACAGAAAATCCGCACCGAGGAGGGGAAACGAGACATCGGCCGTGACAAAGTCCCATGTAAACCGCTGACCCCCACAGTCTTTGTGCCATATGTCCGGATAGGGGTGTCATGTTGTTTGACACGTCCCAATCATGTTGTTCACATACATGAACAACATGATTGGGACGTGTCAAACAACATGACTAGAGGCCAACTCTATCTTATCTCTATGTTCCAAAATACTGGAAACGCTCTTTGTAAATAGAATGGAGTCATTTACTGAAAAACACAACATCCTAACAATCAATATGGATTTAGAAAGGACAAATCAACTGAACTTGCATTATTGTCTGGACTAGTTTTCCTCCTTTGATCTTCCTTCATGGTCCCAAACAGACGACATATTTGTATTCATCAGTTCATTTCTTTGAATGAGGGCAGTACATATGAATGTGTCAGAAACAGCTTCAACATCAAGATGCTGGAATTAGCACAAAAGCTAAAATGCATCCTTTGTCCTAAAGCGGCAGAAGAAACACATGTTTAATATATATGCTCTGTATGTTCATGGGGAGGCTGCACCTTTTTACTTCTTTCTCCATTTAGAGCCCACCACTTGGAAACACAAATACATTTGTACAAACATTGAAACATTTAAATTGTAAATATGCTTCAATAGTTTTTATCTGCAGTTTAGTTCAGAATAATAATGTCCCACTCTGTCTCCTTCTTCATCACATGTCAGTTTGAAGCTTAGACTTGATGCAGCTTTAAAGGAACCATAAGATTTTCCTTTCAGACAAAAACCTGATGTATCCGAGTCTCCAGACACAAAGTAAAGATGTTCAAATCCACAATAAGTGTTTGGTCTGTAAAGCTCAGCAGCTGCAGCACAGGGTTAAGACTGAAGTGTGATCCTGTAGAGTCTGACTCTGGGTTCACATGATGCAGCCTCAGCTCTGTCTCCTTCACTTTGTTCCAGATGCTGCGTCTTCACACCTGCTTCTCACAGGTTTTCATGTGATTATGAAGAGATGAGCTATGAGTAAAAGACTTTCCACACTTTTCACAGACAAATGGTTTCTCTCCAGTGTGGATTCTCTTATGAACTTTCAGAGAACTACTCTTAGAGAAACTCTGATCACAAACGTCACAGCTGAAGGGTTTTTCTCCAGTGTGGATTCTATTGTGTTTATTAAGATCTCCTTTTGTGGAAAAACATCGTTCCACACTGATCACACTCGTACGGCTTCTTTCACTGCAACGGCCATCCTCGTCCACATCTCGAGAGCAGCAAAAGTGAACAGGCAGGAATATAAACCGGACTAAACCGGAGGACGGGGGTCATTGCTTGTAACCATAGGTCTTCACCTGAGTTTTAAATGACTGTAAGTGCCCGCGCACAAGCATTGGCGTCAGCATCTAAGCTCCGCCCCCCTTTCTGTGTGTTTTTCTCGCAACGCAGGACGTCAGAGGACCCTGTTGAATGGTGATGGAAAACGCAGATGCTCGGTTATGTGTGGATGCAAATTCTATCCTAAATTCAGCGGTTTTCCTCTACATCAAGATACATTGTAGAATAAAGAAACTCAATTTATTTTAGAAATAAACTATATGTTTGCATTTTTGTAGTGGTAGATCATTTTTGACTTATCATTTTGATAATAGCTTGCATGCTGAAACAAGTGTGAGCACCCTGCTGTCGCGTCTGAGCTCTGGGTTCACATGATGCAGCTCAGCTCTGTCTCCTTCACTTTGTTCCCGATGCTGCGCTTCAACCTGCTTCTCTCCAGGTTTTATTGTGTTATGAAGAGTTGACCCATGAGTAAAAAGGCCCTTTCACACTTTTTCACAGACAATGGTTCCTCTCCAGTGTGGATCCTCTGATGCACTTTGAGAGAACCACTGTGAGAAAAAACTCCGAGCACAAAACGTCACTGCTGACGGATTTTTCTCCCGTGTGGATTTGTGTGGCTCTTGAGATTTCCTTTCTAGAAAAAACATGTTCCACACTGATCACACTGTCTGGTTTTTCTCCAGTGTGGAATTCTGCTGTGGCTTCTTGAGATCTCCTTTTGCAGTAACACATGTTCCACGCTGATCACTCTCGTATGGTTTTTCTCCAGTGTGGATTCTGCTGTGGCTCTTGAGATCTCCTTTTGCCAGTAAAACATGTTCCACCTGTATCACACTCGTATGGTTTTTCTCAGTGTGGATTTGTGTGGACCTGGGCTCTCCTTTTGATAGTTAAAACCTGTTCCACACAGATCACACTGTCTATGGTTTTTCTCCAGTGTGCATTCTCTCAGACTTTTTGTCGTGTGAAAAAACACCGTAAACCCCTTTCCCACATTCTCCACAGACGAATGGCCTTTTCTCCCCGTAGTGGATTTCTGTAGTGCACAGTGAGGTTTGATATATGTGTAAAGCCTTTTCACCCTGGTCAAATTGGTGAGGGTCTCTCTCCTGTGGGGACACGCTGATGTACTGAGAGCAGCTGTTTGGTCTAAATGTTTTCCACACTGGTCACAGTGGTAAATATGTGACGAGAGTATTTGTTTCTGAAGACTTTGTTCACAAGGATCTGCCTCGTATCCGCGAGGAAATCCGCAACAAAACTCGCAGATGTCTCTTGTGAGTGACATGACACCACCAAAGACTGTTCCAGAACTACAGTTTCCTTGAAACGGGACCTACTCAAAGCTGATCTGGAAACATGTTATTCCAACATAAAAGATGCTAACAGTAGCCTATGTGAGTACAATGAAGCTAACTCTGTACGTCACTGTGAACTAAATAATCAGGGTCTGATTCTGGATCGAGGACATAGGGAGTCGGGCTCACAGGCAGAGGACGCACAGATCCAAGCGTTTCACATGAGGTGACATCATCTCTATGCATGAAATTGCAATAATTAGAGTTTTGAGTGTTGTGTATCACCCAAGTTATTATCTCACATGTGCAAAGGATGGACTGAAAAATGAAGAAAAGTGAAATATGGCCCCTTTTAAATGTGCTGACGCGTCACTGCACCTGCTAAACAGATGGCACCGAGAGGAGCAGGTGACCGGTCCAAGATGGCGGCCCCACGGCTCGCCAGCGCCGATAGACGGTAGCGGTACATGCGGCGTCTACTCTTTTTATGTCTATGTATGAGACAGTCAAAGCCTCGTTGTTACGGGGCTTCATCTGCCCTTCACGAGCGAACAGGAGACTTTTGAATGTTGCAAACTATTACAGCTAGATGAAAGGCTCTGGAGGTAAGAGACGGCATTTTGACGCATATTATTAGTAAAGAAGTATCATTTTCTTCAAACGTGATGAGAGCCACAGAGCCGTGTCCTGATTGGCCGAGAGCCGCCGCATGCTGCTCGAGAGCCTTGTGTTAGGCACTCCTGTTTATTTTGACTCTCGCAACATATTGCCGTTGGCAGCACTTTTCCTTCTCAGCAAGAATGTCCTGGGTTCAAATCCCGGTCGGAAAAGGACCTTTCTGAGTGGTGTTTGCTTATTCTCACCGTGTCTGCCTAGGTTTTCTCCGGGTGCTCCGGTTTCCCCTACCACTAAAAACATGTACAATAGATCTGGCATACGCCTCCTGTACTGGCCCCGCTCCCATCTCTGTGTGGAGTGAGAGACAAGTGCCCAAAAATAACAATTGTAAAGATCTTTGTGACTCTGGTCTGTGAAAGGCGCTATATAAATAAATATTACTTACTTGCATTGTATTGGATTAAATGTGTTTGTTTTATGAAGTCTGCCGAGGCTCAATGCCACCGCTGTGGACGATGAACATATGTTTTAAAGACCAACACTTGTACCGGGGAACACTGCTGATTTGATTTTACGTTTACACAACATGGATTATTTGACCTCACTTTTAAGAAGGATTTTGGGGCCGTATTCCTAAAGATTCTAAGAGTCCTCTCAGAGAGCTCCTAACTTAACCTAAAAACTCCTAACTAGGAGTCTTAGCTTAAAAGTTATTCCAGAACACTATTAGAGAACTCGGAGCAAGGAATGGACTACAACTTTTATCTTAGTGAGGAGGCGTGGCCGACCCCGTCGCTAGGTATGAGTCATCATTTCAGACGCTGTGATTGGTTGATCCTAAAAGTTAGAGAACTTATTTTTGATGATAATGGGCAAAGTAAGGGCCCTAAAATGGACAAACTCAATCATGGAATCTAATCTTAGGAAGACTGTGTCATTGTGAATAATAGTCAGAAAGGTAGAAAGTCAGAAATATCAATGTTAAATTAATATTGTGAACAGTAAGTTAGACTTTTAGTTTTTAGTTATTTTTAGTTCATTTCTTTATTTGAGCAATACACATTGTGCTCAAAAGGAGTGGGCTGAAGCAAAAAGCTTATGAGCCCCCACCCACAAGTGCAATACATAAAAAAAGAACATTTCAAAACACTTAAAGCAGCTACATTCGTACAGACCAAATTACAACAACCAACAAAAATATATTAACTCTTTATATAATTAATTGGAACAACGCACAGCTACAACAACAATCTAGTTTCATATACGATGTCTAGAACAAAGCAAGTCAAAAAATGTGTTACTTAATATATTGCTTGCAGATTTTTACCCGTGATTACAGAGTTACTTTTATGGTATAAAAGTACATTAATAGATATTATAATCTGAGATCTTGATACTTTCCAATTGTCATTACCATTCTCAGTATAATTTTAATTTGGGTTTAATTATCATCATCATTAT